CACTGGTTAGCCTCCTGAGCCGTGAGCACTGGTTAGCCTCCTGAGCTATGCAGCAGATTTGCCCAGTGCAATGCATTCTTTGATTTCCTGACTGCTGCTTCCATGGGCATTGTGCATCCAAGTAAAATGAAATCTTTAGTAAAATGTGATGTTTTAGGAATGTTAAACCTGCTGTTTATATCATTAATGTCTTTAGTGAATTCATACTTCAAGGCACTTAGTTTAGAGGCCTGAGTGGGGGTGGAAGAAACGGGGGTGGGTAGTAATCCCCCTTCCTGTGAATACTTTGAGTCCTCACTCTGAACTCTGAAACAAACAAGAGACTTGAGGTTGCAGCAGCCACTTTGGAGGGGAGATTTGCTGGGTGACTTTTCTCCAAGGGTCTGCAGGAGGCTCCCTGGGCCGGGCCTAAGCAGGGCCAGGAGGGAGCAGGGGCGGGTGGCTTTCATGAGCATTTCGGACCTCATTTTTTAATCTGAATTATTCTGTTGTGATTCGTGGGTTTTCACTGGCTAAAAAGGAGCCCTGGTGGTGCAATGGTTAAACCCTCAGCTGCTACCCCAAAGGTTGGCTGTTCGAACCCACTCAGTGGCTCTGTAGCAGAAAGATGTAGCAGTCTATTCCTGTAAAGGTTACAGCCTAGAAAAAGCTATGTGACAGTTCTACTCTGTCACCTGGGTCGCTATGAGTCAGAATCGACTTGACGGCACCTAACAACAACAATTTTCAGAAGTAAATTGCCAGGTATTTCTTTCTAGTCTGCCTTAGCCTGGAAGCTCCACTAAAACCTGTCCACCATGGGTGATCCTGCTGGGATCTGAAATACCGGCATTTTGGTGCAAACTCTAAGCAAAATAAAATGCTATTTCCAAACAGTTCTGCCCCATACAGCAAGCTGAGCAGGCTTGCTATCTGCAAATACTTCTCTCCATCAGTAGAAATGAGTGTCAGCCTTTAAAATTAATACAGTTGCATTATTATTCTATGGGGCCAACTAATAAAGGTTTTACCAATACGGATTTTACTAATAAAGGTTTCTCATTTAATCTAGAAGAGAACAATCTTGCTCTAATTATAGACATAAATAAATGACATACTGACATGTCTGGCTTTCACAACAGAGAACTGGATTTTAATTGTCCGCTAAGAAAACTTCACCACCCCAGCACAGCAACAGCCCCAACCAGCGCCCAAATATAGCACTTATTTTTAAATACTGTGTTCTAAAAATAAGTGCCGCATCTCCCATACAGCCTGCACATCGCGGACAGCATCAGACTCTGGCTTCAGTTGGGGATGATGAGTGGAAACGGTGCTATATTTGGGAAGGATGCTTCTGGAGGATGGGCCCCTACACAGAGAGCAAGAACCCCAGGGCGCCATATGTTTTCTCCTTGCATGAGTTGCTTTGCCAACGACCTTCTTGGTTGAATGGCACAGTGTCTGTTAAAGTACAACACAGAAATACTTTGCACTCGTAACCCATGTCAACCCGTCATGCTGTTATTCAAAAGAGTTCACTGAAGGTGCTGGGACAGCTGTTGTTAGTTGGCCGTCGGATCGGCTCCAGCTCACAGCAACCTTATGTACAACAGAAGCGAATATTGCCTGGTCCTGCGTCACCTTGACGATTGTTGGGATGCTCAAGTCCATGGTTGCAGCCACTGTGCATTTTTAGCGCCTTCCAACCTATATGGGACAGTGTTCTGTTGTGATCTATAGGGTTTTCAATGACTGATTTTCAGAAATAGATTGCCAGGATTTTTGCCTAGGCTGCCTTCATCTGGAAGCTCCACTGAAGCTTGTCCACCATGGGTGACCCTGCTGGTATTTGAAATACCGGTGCCATAGCTTCCAGCATCATGGCAACATGCAAGCCACCACAGTACTACAGACTGACAGACGGGGTGGCTGGGACAGTTAGAGCCATATGAAATAGCATCACTATATCATGACGTGGTATCTACATGATAAAAACTTATCTCTCATCCTAAAATGATCCAGCAAGCTAAGGGGCCAGCTTTCTTGACTCGTGAGTCAATCCTCTGTAACTAAGGAAGTGCCACGTCTTTTGAAACCTGTTTTTGCAGTTAACCTTTTAGAAAAGGAGAGCAACTTCAGAGCAGATGGGTCTTCACGGCTCTGCATAAAGTGTGTTACAAAAGGCTGGGACCACATGGTTATTGCTTAGGACGATGGAGACCCAGAGTCCAAAGTGACACTAGTCCATTGCGATCCCTTGAAGACTTGGAACATGCAGTTATATTGACAGAGAAACTGTAAACACTTCTGAACACTTTATATGTAAAGGCACACCCTGGAGATCGTGCATGTTTGGTTCCAGACCACTGCCGTGAAGTGAGTATCACAATAAAGCAAGTCACATGAATTGTTTGGTTTCCCAGTGCGTATAAAAGTTATGTTTACACTGTACTGTAGCCTGTTAAGTGTGCACTAGCATTATGTCTAAAAAAAGCAACGCAATACTTTAATTAAAAATTACTTTATGATGCTAAAACTTGCTGACCCTCATCTGAGCCTTCTTTTTTGCTGGTGGAGGGTCTTGCCTCAACATTGATGGCTGCTGACTGATCAGGTTGGTGGTTGCTGAAGATTGGGGTGGCCGTGGCAATTTCTCAAAACAAGACAGCCGTGAAGTTTGCCGCATCTACTGACTCTTCCTTTCACCAGAGATTTCTCTGTAGCATGCGATGCTGTTTGATAGCATTTTACCCACAGGAGAACTTTCAAAATTGAAATCAATCCTCTCAAACCCTGCCGCTGCTTTAGGAGCTAAGATTATGTCATATTCTAATTCCTTTGTTGTCATTTCCACAGTGTCCACAGCATCTTCACCAGTAGTAGATTCTATCTCGAGAAACCACTTTCTTTGCTCAGCCATGAGAAGCACCTCCTCGTCTGTTAAAAGTTTTATTATGAGATTGCAGCAGTTCAGTCACACCTCAGGCTCCATTTCTAATTCTAGTTCTCTTGCTGTTTCCACCACATCTGTAGTTACTTCCTTCACTGAAGTCTTGATCCATGAGGTTTGGAATCAACTTCTTCCAAGCTCCTGTTAATGTTGATATTTTGACCTCGTCTCGTGAATCAAGAGTATTCTTAATGGCATCTATAATGGTGAATCCTTTCTACAAAGTTTTCAATTTGCCCAGGTCAGAGGAATTGCTATCTATGGCAGCTATAGCCTTATGAAATGTATTTCTTAAATAAGAAGACTTGCAAGTCAAAATTACTCCTTGATCCATGGGCTACAGACTGGATGTTGTGTTAACAGTCATGAAAACAACATTAATCTCCTTGTACATCTCCATGAGAGCTCTTAGGTGACCAAGTGCATTGTCAATAAGTATTTTGAAAGGAATCTTTTTTTTCTGAGCAGTTGTTCTTAACAGTAGCTTGAAATATTCAGTAAACCACGTTGTAAACAGATATGCTGTCATCCAGGCTTTGTGTTCCATTTATATAGATAGCACAGGCAGAGTAGATTTTGCATAATTCTAAGGCCCTAGGATTTTTGGAACGATAAATGAGCACTGGCTTCAGCTTAACATCACCAGCTACATTAGCCCCTAGCAAGAGAATCAGCCTCTCCTTTGAAGCTTTGAAGCCAGGCATTGACTTCTTTCTAGCTATGAAAGTCCAAGATGGCATCTTCTTCCAATAGAAGGCTGTTCTGTCTGCATTGAAATCTGTTGTTTAGTGTGGCCACCTTCATCCATTCTCTTAGCTACAGCTTCTGGATAGCTTGCGGCAGCTTCTCCATCAGCACTCGCTGCTTCCCCTTGCACTTTTATGTTGTGGAGACGGCTTCTTTCCTTAAACCTCATGAACCAACCTCTGCTAGCTTCAGACTTTTTCTCCTGTGTTTTCCTCACCTCTCTCAGCTTTCACAGAGTTGAAGAGAGTTAGGGCCTTGCTCTGGATTAGACTTTGGCTTAAGGGAATGTGGCTGGTTTGATCTTCTATCCAGACCACTAAAACTTTCTCCATGTCAGCAATAAGGCTGTTTCGCTTTCTTATCATTGGTGTGTTCACTGGAGCAGCACTTTTAATTTCCTTCAAGAACTTTTCCTTTGCATTCACAACTCGGCTAACTGTTCGGCACAAGAGGCCCAGCTTTCGGCCTGTCTCGGCTTTCATTTTGACATGCCTTCCTCACTAAGCTTAATCATTTCTAGCTTTTGATTTAAAGTGAGGGATGTTCTACTCTTCCTTTCACTTGAACACTAAGAGGCCACTGTAGGGTTATTCATTGGCCTAATTTCAATATTGTTCCGTCTCAAGGAATAGGGAGGCCGGAGGAGAGGGAGAAAGACAGGGGACTGGCCAGTCAGCGGAGCAGTCAGAACACACATATTTATCAGTTAAGTTCGCCATCTTATAGGGGTGCAGTTTGTGACGCCCCAAAACAATTACAAGAGTAACATCAAAGATCACTGATCACAGATCACCGTAACAGATACAATAATAATGAAAATGTTTGAAATATTGCAGGAATTACCAAAATGTGACACAGACATGAAGTGAGCTCATGCTGTTGGAAAAATGGTGCTGATAGACTTGCTCAACGCAGGGTTACCACAAGCCGTCAATTTGTAAAAAACGCGGTATCTGTGAAGCGCAATAAAATGAAGCACAATAAAACCCGGTATGCGTGTATTCCTAAAACAGACACCCCTAGAGAGAGAGAAAAAAATGCTTGCAGAGAACAGACTAAATGATCCTTCAGGTGAGCAGACTTGGATTTCAACTCTGCTTC